TGTGTGCTTTCTCGACGTCGGACATGGCGTTGAATAGAGGTGTTGGTGGGTGAAGGGGAACACAGGTAGCACGATGATTCAGATGGGGACCTTGAACCTTTTATCCTGTTGCACATGAACTGACCCGAAATAAGAAACCGGGGAAATGAGCGCTGACAAATCAAACATCCACCAGAATTGATTAGGTTTGCACTAAAATGGTATTCGATCGTAAATAAATGCTCATTTTTACGCAACACCACAACACCCAGCGGGATCACGTTGTCAATCCCTGAGCAACTCGCAAAGCACGTATAGTTTGTCAACCATTCCGACTGTGAGCTGCGTATCGTACTAGTAGAAAGGCTTGAGACGAGGGTGATTCGGAGCCGACTGTTAAGATCCACGAGCTTCGCCGAATATTCGTTCCGCTGGCTTCGCTGTTTCCGAAGGGAAAATAAGCGGCGAATTTGGCGCGAAATTACCATCACGGCAGAGAAGCGAGAAGTCAAACCGGGGTTACGGTGACTACTCTATTTGCGCTGAAACAACAGGTGTCATGCCAGAGGCAGCGGCGGTCAGCATCAAGGACGTTCTGGATCCCCAATTTCAATCACATCGTCGAATCACTGGCAGATCTAGTCTGCAAAGTTCCCCACTTCTTCGTACCAGAAGCAAATTATAAATTCCACGCCGAGATTCTCAAATGCACCGGACCAAAGTCATGTAATTTCGAGAGCGCTGCTTTTACACAACCAAAAGAACTAATATGTGAGGAGTATTTACACGTTCTACTCGGCCCCCAAGCAGCGTAATAAGTTCAAGTGCGTCGAGGTATGAAGACACACTTCCATTTAATGAAGTGCGGATTGTTACGGATCTTTCCGTTCCAGGGCATCACGAATCACTGTCGCTCTGGACTCTGGAGCCTCGAAACCAGAGCTTCTCCTCTATGGTTTCAAAAGAGCTAATTGATGCTGAGACCGAGGCCTCAGCGTCAGCGTTCGTGGATGAGATGCGCCCGAGGCCTCTGGGTGTATTACATAGTCTCGGCGGCAGGAAGAGGACTGCATGTCTATGACACCCAGAAAACCTCTTTGCGCAAGATGCGATCAGAAGCCGGCCGCGACCAGGACAACATGCGTCTACTAGTCGGCCGCAGCGTCGCTGATAATCACACAACACGACGACGTACAACGCCAGCGCGTGTTACCACAAAAGGCAGGTGCTGTAGTTCGCGAAAGCTCTGTGTCGAAAGGGTTCAACCCTGAACGTAAGGGTTGGGTATCCCTACTAGTATCCGATACGGTCGTAGCGCCCAGCTTGGAAGCGTCCTTCAAGTCATATCGTGGAATTTCCGTGCGTGCTACATGACACCAAAATTTCTAGCGACGGCCCATCTGCCATTTTACATACCGCTTGTACAGCTCCCCCGTACAGGACCGTCGCAGTTGCACTTGCCGCTATCATTCTCAGCAGAGAGCCGCCACTGATGGGCCCAAGTAGCGCCGACGGACAAGCTGTTGCAGGGAATCTTCGATGAGGGATTTTCCAATGCTGGTCCTCATTGCTCCAGGGATACAGAGCCTGAGTAGCAGTTGATCATCCAAATACCGGAAACTAAAGGTGGAGTACAGTCCGCCCACATTGCCAATTTTGCATTGTTCGTGGTGCCACTCAGGCAAAGCGAACCCGTCCATAAGGCACCCCATCGTGGATTGTGGACCCGACAAGCTCTTTTGTCCTGGTCCACCCACATATATGACCAGTCACTGAAGTTCAACTACCATCATGTCTATGTCCTCGCTCACGATGTGCTTCCCATTCGTCTGCTCGATTCCATGCCAGGACCCTTCGACCGTCGACCTTGACGACTCCGAGGTAGCATCCACTGCCTCCTCGATTACAAGCAGCTATTTCAGTAGCAACCTCTCATCAGAGTCGATAGCAAGCCGGCCTGCTGCTTCCGAGCAGCCCTGGCCGTACCGATTTTATGTACGTAGACTGACGCGCAATCCGCTCACAACACCACTGAACCCGGCTACGACAGAGTGGGGAGCGTGCTTGGGCAAGAGGGGGAAATGGCGAGTGGAGGTTGGTTTTACTGTTAGATGACGGTTCGCTCGAAGATCACGATGTAAGTGGCTCAGATCCTTTGCTAATCGCACCTACTGATGTGTGTCTTTTATACAAGGGTCGAGACGTCCCCGTATACACTGCAACGTGGACAGGTATTGACGGATTCGTCGCCCGAGGGGCTTTCTCTCCGCTTCTCGGAAATCTAAAGCCAGACACGGAGACAGTCCGCCATCTTCTTCGCGAAGAGAAGGCCCCAGTTCAAGGGGATGCAGACAAGCTCTACCTCGAAACCGTCGATTTGGGCACATAGATTGGCAAGTACACAAAGCTCTAAATCTTAATTTTGTTTCACGTGGTCCGAGTTATCTTGACATCCAAGTCATGTACATGTACTTCCAAAATGGTTCTATTTGGTATGTACTCAAAATTAGTTCTCTGTACTTGTCTTGCCACCGTGTTGCCCTAGTTTACCATGTAACTCTATATGATTCCCTTACACGACTATAAAAAACCTATTACTACACATATTATCAAGCTGATCGTGCAGGTTATTTTCGTTCAACATGTTGGTCGTCTACTCCCACATTCTAAAAACCCCACCTAACCATACAGCAGATGTAATGTGTATGCTGTGAGTGCGGTCATCGTCCCAAACATGAGGATGTATTGCGGAATGAGGAACGCTGAGATGTGCTCAGCGCTGCCTGTCCCAGAATATACCTGTGTGAGATAGACCTGGAGGAGGAAATTTTTTAGCGCTATTGCAACGTCATGTGTTAAGGGACCTACCTGGGTTGTAGCAGTGGGTAGACATGACAGGAAGCTGAAGGCACTGGGTAAGTCTATCTCATATGGAGTGCAGGAAACCGACGTACATGCAAACAAATCTGAGGACGTTGTTGTTTGCATCTATCATGCCTATATTGGTCAGTCCCTGGCATATCAGTACCCCAAGAACAGGCATGATCACCATCCGGCCAATAGCCAACGAGCCGATTGCACCGAGTGGGAGAGCACTCCAACGACCGCCTGGGAGCTGGAGTCTCGCGAGCGCCGAACCGAGCGTCATCAACCCCAGAGGAACGGACGCAGCCCCTATGAAAGTTGCAGTGTTCATGATAATGGCGAGCGGTGGTTGTCCATCTGGCGCAGGTGCGATGTTGACACCGGGGACACCGGGGACGAACAGGGCTTTGAGGACCGGAACCACGGATATGATGAATGAGCCCAGAATGGAGATCGAGCATGGGTTAAGCAGAGTCTGGAGGAGGTTCCAAGCCTGTCTGTATATGCGATGGCGGAGACCTTTCGGGATGGCAGGTTCGACTTTGGTCTCGTCAAGTCCTTGGGCAGGCGGATGATCATGCTGAACGATGGTCGTCCTTGCTGAAATAGGGTCGTCGCTCGGACGGCTGGACAGGACTGCTCTATCCGCTGTAGAAGAGACTTTCTCGGCATCGTAGGTAACCTCTTCCGCTGAAGAATATTTGGAATGGTGTTGGCCCTTCAACAAGATGATGGAGCGCTCCAATGCGACACCGATTTTTTTCTGTTTCATTCTAAGGCGTTCTCGAACTTCTTCGTCTTCCACGTCTGGTCCATCGAAATCCATGGGGATCCACTTGATACCTCCAAATACAAAGAGGGTAATCTAATCATCACTTAGTCCTCAAGCGCTCCATGGGTATCAGACTGGTGACGCACGAAGAAAACGAGGATGAACGCTGCGATATACGCGACAGCGAGATTTTCATCCTCAGTTCCATTGAACGGCGCCGAAGCTGTGATGCTCATAACCACTGACGTCGCTGGTCATTCTATATCAGGCAACAGAAATATGAAAGATTGTAGATCATATAGTAACTCACGGATGTCGCCTACATTGCCCCATCCACCGGCAACAAGTATGCCATATCGGAACCGGTGCGGAACCCAAAAGAACTGCGTGGTTATCCAAGCAATTGCTATTCCTATGGCTTCGTAAAGCAGTCCGACGAAGATGAGGGGACCTGAAGGAAGATTCCGTTAATGTTCCAAAACAGTAGGTAGAGTTCCAGTTACCGAGTGCGCTAATATTTGACGAGTTAAAAGCTGGGACGATCTTGGAGAACATGAGACTCGGGAGTGTGACGTTCTGTTCGGCGGTAACGAATCGACTGTTAGTTAATCGTTGTGGAACTCAAGTAGGTACTCTCGCAAAGCACTTACAAGCAAGATTTGCCCAGCTCCTCGAGCTGCAGCGAGCGGGAGTAGTCCAGCTTTCGTGATAGCGAATCCACATGAAACACATAGAAACCTATCTCAAATCAGTATTCAGGACTGCTGTTACAACCTGAGGTATTTCAAGCTGTCCCGTCGGAGATAGACGTACAGGCGGATGAGTGGCTGGACAGACACCCAGATCAGCGTGCCAGCTGGGATCATGGCCAACGACACTGTCAGAAGGAGGTACCGTAGCACACAGAGAAAATGAGGGTTGCTGGCAAAGTCCGTGGGCCCTACAGGGCCCTAGTCACTTGAACATTGGCATGAGATTTCGGGAAACATCGGTCGTACGCAAGGTACATAGAAGGTCAAAGCGGACCGAAGCCATATGCCATGGGATCTTGGTACAGTTAAGATTGGACTAAGGGATGAGAAGCCGAGGGCATGTGAGCCTCTCGAAGGCAGTGTTTCGTACGTTTGGCCATGGGGATGCTTATCCCGGCAAGATACCTTGAGCTGGATGCGTTCGGACGGCTGTAAAGTGATTGCGCGTCAACCATACGCCGGTCGAATACGTCAGTTGACAGGTAACAGACGTAACTTGGTTAACCACGCACAGTAAGTACTATGATTACTTTCTAAAAATCCTTATTGACCTACTGCAAAGTCTATGATAGCAAATCAACATCAACTTGGGAATCACTAAGAACGAACAAAACAACAACAAAAAGATCATCTGCCCCGAGCAAGGTTCGAACTTGCGACCTCAGGATTGCGTAATCAGCTGATTACTCATACCTCACGATATGAGACCTGCGCTCTAACCAACTGAGCCATCGGGGCGATATGTGGAAAGAGATTCCAACTTACAAGTTTGGATGCGGCGCACAGTCAGTATGGAGGGTCTCTCACGATCTCCACCAGGAGCTGGCAAGAGAGGGGAGCATTGAAGCACATATACTCAAGGGGCTGACCCACTAGGGGACACAGTGGCCATCATCCAGATGATAATCCAGGTGATCCCCAATAAAGGTTGCTCCAGACGGTCAGTGGCCCGCCTTTACAAATGACCTGTCTTCGAATCCCAGCTAGTATTATGATAGATAGTAGTACGTCCAGGTTTAGGGTGCATCTTCAATAAAAATAGGCTCTACATTCTTCCAGACTTGATTTCCGCCTTCCTTCCATACCCTTTCTCGCTCAACCCAATACTCGAGCACGTCTCCCACTCTGGAAGGATTCCACACACGCTCGCCGGTATCCCCATCTGTTTCTGCAGTGAACCACCTTGGTTGATGGGGTGGTAACCTCCCGTCCTCCCTTGCCCTCCGCGTGGTTCGTTGTTTTTCTTCCTGTTTGCTCTTCAGGTCGTTAGCACGTTCGTATTTGCCCATTTCGAACGCGCGTTGGTCGGGACGAAGGCGACAATCAGTAGGACACAGGTATGGTTTGAGCGTGTCCTCGGGACAGTCGTTCAGAGTGATCGCGAACGGGGTGAGGTTGAAAGGTGCAGTGGGCTTGTCCGAATTTCTCCACAGAAGGACATATTCTGTCATGTAATTCGGAGACGAAGGGCTGCTGACCGTTGCGTCGGGGTGGAGGAATCCACTTCCGGTACCTACGCCGCGACAGATCAACTGGCTGTTCCAACGACCTGCAATTTCGTGCGTGATTTCGCCGTCTGCGTTCCGCACGGATCCCGAGATCTCATATGCGTCCTTGCCGCGCCACCCACGGGGCTTGAACGTTAGAACGCACTGATCTCCCGTGCGGTGGTTAGTAACCTATGAAGGGACCAGTTAGCATGAGACACAGACGAGAGCATATGTGACAAACTAACAATCATGTCACCGTAATGGTCGATGGTAGGAGACCCAAGGATGAAACCAGAGACATTTGTCGTGACTTTTTTCCACGAGTAGTGCTCCACTGCCTTGCCCTTCCCATTAAGAGCGGTTACTTTGGGATAGTCAGGTTCCCAATCTTCAGGCAGGAGAAGCTCTGCGTGTGCAACACCAGTCGGACGGATTTCGAAGGACTTGCCCATGAACTTGTTTTGAGCGTCGACCTAGAAAAAGAAGGGTCAAGGATGAGCAAACAGGTGGTTCCATACAAGAAGATGGTGAACACGCACTTCGCCGTAGTAATGCCAACACGGTGATTCTGCCCAACAAGCTGAGATTGGTGGATGGTGGCTAACTTGCTCGGACATATATCGATATTCCTTGTCTAACCTTACATACTCAAACGTCTCGCTCTGGGAAAAATAGGATGAACAGGCAAAAGAGGACATTGGAAGAGCGTTGCTTACAAGCATAGGATTGAATGGCTTTGCTATACGCCCGATAGTTGACGAATAATTAGACATCGCAAATGCGGCGACAAACGCTAAGCGGCGCTGTGGGTCTTTCTCTCGAGCAGCGACATCAACTACCGAAGCAAGGTCAGCGAATAATTTCTAAAACTGCCGCAAGGACTTACGACACTCAGAAAACTCCATATCTTCAGCCTGAAAGAATTAATGTGAACTGACTAGTACCCGCCTAAGCATCGGCACCCACCATGCGCTGCAACATGCTCGTTGGCTCATTGAAGAACACAGGGAAACTGATCCTCGTCAAATCCTTCCCGATACTGTGTTTTAAAACCGACCAAAGGCTGGTTGATGGCCTGTTATCAGTTCCTATGGGCAACCGCGTCCTCAGTTCCTTGTAACCGACGAACGGCTCCAAGTTAATGGCAAGTGGTAACATCAACTCAGAGTGCGTCGGGCTGGTAAGGAGCTGGCTGACGACGAGGTTCGGGAGATTATTTGACTCGATAGCGTCGAAGAACTCGTCTTCTTCGTCCGTGTCGTGTGCTTCTTCTTCCTCTTCCACGTCTACCGCCGCTGGCGTTGGTGGTTTGAATCGTGAAACTCGTTGTTGTGTTGGTGTAAGGAGAACAGGTGTTTCGGACGCTGGAACGACAACTGTATCGGGCGTCGACACGGTAGGGACGGCCACTTGAGCATTTGTGGCGGTGACTATCACAGAGCTGGGTTCTTCTTTTTCGGGTACAGGCGGCGAAACAAGCAGTAGTGACATTGGTCGCTGCCTCAGCGTACCCCCAGTCTCAGACACCCCCACGTCAAAGAACCGACTCCCGCGTTTTCGAGACCGTGTACGAAGCTCCTTCTCCAAGGCTTCACCCTCCCGAACGACAGTCTGCAGGCTTTCTTCCCATATTGTCTGGCGTTCGCGTTCACGTTGGAGCTGGGACTTCCACCACGCTTCTCGTTCTTTGGCCATCTGAACGTACTCGTTCATGATGGACTGCACGGTGGCGAAGGACTCCTTGAGTGCTGCTCGGAGCTCGTGCGCGCGAGGCGGCGTGTCAGGCGGTAGTGACAAGCTGGCGAGAAGTTGGGCTGTGAGCTCCATCTGCGCGGACGCCGAGTTCCCCTGTAGATCAAAGGTCGTCCCGTGTGGCGGCTGGTTCTGCGAGGACTCTGACGCAGACGAGCCATCGTGATTGTTGGCTCCTTCGTCGTCGGATTCTTCGTCGCGTACATTGATGCTCTCCTGCGTGATATCTCCAGCCGCAGGTGGGCTGCTCTCGTCTCCAGTATCCACGAAAGACCCTTGCGACCCGCTCACGCCATGCGTTCCGAGGTCGACTTTCACCCTGGACATCCCAGACACGCCTGACACCGCCGACTGGAAGCTCTTTCGAACCCTCGAAGGCCTCAGTGATGCGCTCTTCTCGCTCTCCCCACTCCTTCTCCCAGCAACCAAAGCAGGCCCTGGCTCGCCTTCGTGCTTATACCAGTCAATGCTCTTGCTGATCGCCTGCGTCCACCGTGCGGCCTCGACCGGGTGGTTCGCCCGCATGTACCACTTCTGCACCGACATGTGTCCTCGCGAGGGTATCGAGTGTACTTCGAACCGGGTTTTCTCGCCGCCTGAGCCGAGTTTCAGGATCGCAGATTTCATCGAAATCGCGCCTCTGCTTGCAACGTTTTCATCTTCTTGGTGTCGGTAGTCTGGAGCCAGATTAGCCTTACATCTAATGATACGAAACAGCTACCAACAGGAAAGAACACCATCCTTGAGAACGAACCAGCGGGTGTTGTACCCACGAGCGACGTTCGTGTACTTGTTCAGGTATCCCTTCAGAACAGGTGGTTCCAACACCGGGACTTCGATCAGAGACTTGTCGTGATTTGCGACTGCGATCCTCAGTATACACATCCACTCGAGAATAGCGGAACAAGAACCTACACTGCCTCAAGAACACCCTCGCGCGGTCGTCCTTACCCGCCCCGTCGTACGCCATCTTGCCTCGCCTGTCCCGTACGAATACGTCCGCTCCTGCACGCACCGCCAGCTCGATCAGTCGCAGGTCTTTCCGCCGTGCTGCTTCGTGCAATAGCGAAGTCCCTGATGTATCGTCCAAATAGGAGAGGTCAACCCCTTTGGCCCTGGGAGATTCCAGAAGCGACACCAAGGCTGGGCTTGGTTGTGTATCAGCGTCGGAGAGCACATACGAACGCATGAGAGATCGGTAGGACGCATTTAGAAATGTTCGCGAGTCTGAAACAGTGTAAGATGTTAGCCAAATACACATATTAGCGCAAACCTACCTTCGAGTATTTGAATACTTTCTTTGCCCTTTGCCACGTCTTTGCAGGTGCGTCCTTGAGCGTCCCGAAGGGTGTCGTCTATTCCGGGCTGCTCCAGTAGCACGCTAATAATGTCGGCACGCCCCAACGACGCCGCCAGATGAAGGGCGGTCGTGCCACTGCCTGGCGGATGCACACCATTTGGCGATATGGCTCTGTGAGACAACAAGAGCTGCACAGTGTCAACTGTCGGTAATTTGAGCCCGTGAGTACTCGGAGACCAAATGAAAGGGGACACTCACCGGAAGCACAGCGGATGGCAAGGTGCAGCGCTGCAGCGCCCGTATTCAGATCGCCATCGACTGATCTGCGTCTTTCCTTGCCGATTTCGGCCAAGAAGGGGTGAATGAGGGCGGGATCGCCTGTCTGACCGGTAAACCCACGTTACACCACCTGCGAAGCCAATACGCACCATTTCTGAGAGCAGAAAGCAGTTTGACCTGCTGCAAAGGTTCCACGGCGCCTGAAACAAGTCAATATGAGTAAAAGGTGGGGTCAATCGCATCCGAGAATAATTCGAAGCCCGTACTTGAAGCTCCAAAACTGCGAACAGACGCGTTTCCGTGCGACATTGCTGCTCGCTGCGATCGCTATCTTCTCGTGCTCAGTGATTTGACAGTAGCTTAGATATTGTTCACAAGTTGTGGACCAGGACAAGACGCAATGATTTGTCTGCCTGAGCCGGAGCCCCACTACTGTGACGGTGGGCCTGAGCGATGCCCCAAAGGTAATTACCTTACCCCGTCACGTGACTCCAACAATAAGGCCAATTTCGCCAATTCCTCCTCATGAGCTCACATGTATAAGAAAATGTACAATAATAATAGTTCTTGACAGGGGACAGATCCAGGGAATATGTGGAAGGCCTATGCACACGACCTCTTTCCACGTCGCGGTCAAGTGTCTTGATACCAAATTCCAGAATGAACGCCCTCGATAAGCTTGGACTAGCGACAGCTCTCGCCAAAGCACGGAAGAGTTACCAGGAGGGTGGTGTACCTATCGGTGCTGCTCTGGTCTACCATGGCACAACGCCAGACACATCTAACGCAGTGGTCCTCGGGTGCTCTCACAATCAGAGGTTTCAAAAGTCATCCCCAACGCTCCATGCGGAGATCGCTACATTGGAAGATGCAGGACGTTTGAAAGCAGCCGTTTACAGGAAATCGACAATGGTAAG